AAAACAATTGCTCTTGTAACAATGACGCCAAGATCAATGAAAAGTAGTTATGACACCAAACTGACGAAACCAAAAATAATGACAGAAAATGACACAGAAAACAATACCGAAAATGATGATACCGAAAATGACCCAAAAATGATGATGTCAAGAATGATGACGCCAAGAACGACAATACCAAAACGATGCGATGCTAACAATCTACGGTTTGAAAAAAATTTTTTAATAAATGAATCAAAACAGAAAAATAAAAAACTATCCCTGTTTACTATTTATATATCCCGAGATCAGGTACGGATATACAAAATTATTATTTTTTTTATTAAAAAACATAGCATTATAGTGCTATAGTAACAAATGCTATAGCACTATAATAATATTTCCATAAAAATTTATAGTATAAATATAAAACTAAAGATTTATTTAACAAATTGATATTTGTTAATTAAGATATATTCTATATAATTATAATATTTATATAAAATTTAACTGATATAAAAAATTAAACTAATTATATTTTAGTCTATACTAAAATATTAAAATTATATTTATATAATATTTTATTGTTAAACTGCATATTTTATATTTTTTTTATCATCTTAACTTTAAATTTATATTCTATTCTAAAGTATAATAAATTATAAACTTCATATATTTTTATTAACTCTGAGAAATTAGGAATATCGCAAAAATTACAAAATTTAAGTGCTAAAATTCTTGAATATATGGAGAAAAAGATAGAATCAAAGAAAAAATTAGACAAAAAAGAGGCAGCAGAGAAAAGGAAAAAACTCAGATATTTGGTTTCTAGTTAGTTTTTGTGGTCATTTTCCCAAAAGAATAAGCTTGACCCAGACTACAAACTATTTCTTTTTTTTAAATATTAAGGTGACTACTTGGGGTCTGGCATGGTTTATAAATTTCTCAGTTCAATTATTGGAACACTGAATAGGCATCTCTTGACTTTGTTATATCAACGAGAGTATAATTGGTCACATGTACAACTTTAGTCATTGTCTAATTAAGGGCTCCGCTATACTATCTATAGTTACCCACCAATTGCTATACCTAGAATCTGTTTGTAGATCCCCTATTTAAACCTTCTGATCGACTTAGCGCCGTCAGATG